AAATGACAGTGAGGGACAAATAATGACGATTAAAGACCCTAAAATTTGTTATTTTTTTAAAAATATTTTTGACCAAAAAGAATAGTATTTCCACTAAAACACAAAGAAATACAAAAAATTCAAATTTTAATAGTTAAGATCATTGAGAATAAATAGTTTCTACACTTGTCTTGTGAATAATTTTCTCCTACTTTTAAAGGATCCTTCAAAGTTTATATATAGTACCGAATCCTAAATATCACAGTTAGATAAAAATTTATTTGGTGGGAAAAAAAAAGATAAGAAATTCATTTTGTTTCAAGATATAAGACGATAATTTACTCTATTTTGTGCAATTGCTAAATTTTTTTCTTCAAAGTATCCCTATCAATTGTATATAGTAAGAATGTTTCTATAATGAACATGATTAAAATGATATTATAGAAAAATTAATGCACATTAATTACAAATAATTAATTTAACTAATTTTTTAAATATGCACAAACTAATTTTTCTTGCCAGAGAAATTAATATCTTAACTTTTATTTTAAGAAACAAAGGAAATACATCGGATGGAAGGGGTTTTTTTTTAAAAGCTTTTTAGTGCTTTATTTTACATTATAAAACATTTATCTAGAGAATTTTTTTTTACAGGCCGAAAAATTAAGGCTGGCTGTTGGTAATCATTTTCAAAGTTTCTCTATAGGTGAGATGGCCCATTCAATCCATCTCGCTAAACAAAAACGAAGGCCATATAATAAATATTGGCAGGTACGGGCCATATAAGTAGGAAAGGACATCAAATCAAATTTAGAAAGGAAAACTTTGGACCTAAAAAAAAATTTAGAAAGGACAACTTGGGGGGAAAAAATCATAAACTTTTTATACATGAAAAAAAAAACTAGTACTATATAACTTTTATACACATAAGCATTACTACTCTTTTTTTCTCACCAGTAAAATATTCAATTATAAACCTTTTCCTTTAAAATTTCAATATCAATATTTTTTTAAATAAAACTAATGATATTAAGATTAAAGAAATGAAAGACACTTTATGAAATTGTAACACTAAACTTAAATAAATAATAGTATATAAAAGGGAAAACCATATTGAAGTACCTATACTTTCTCTCAATTTTAATTTGGTACCTATGTTTTTTTTCCCTTTAATTAAACATTTAATTTTATCTTTTTAGCAACATTAGCTATTATAACTTTGTTCTATTGATATTTAGTCTCTACATAAAGATTAATGATGTTATAGAGGAAAAATAAAGATTTAGTTAAGAACAAAAAACATAGTACCAAATTGAAAATTGAAAAAAAGTATAAGTACCTCCAATATGGTTTTCCCTATATAAAAAGGACAACGGATATTGTTATAGTCTAGAAAGGATATGCGGCCCTATTGAAGCAATGTTGTGCAGATTGAAAGCACAGAACACATCAATGCAAAACAAAGCCCATAGGTTCAACAAAAGTTCCAAACAAAAGTACCCGACAGTACTTCGAATAGAATTGCCTCTAATAAGAGGATACCTATACTTTAGTAAAAAAAAAATTCCAAACCACCCACTACTACAAAAAAAGACATTTAACGGCAATTAAAATGAGCTTTTCAAGACGGTTGTGAGAGCGACATTTATGTTATCGATGTAAACTGTGAAGGATTTTACAACAGTTTAAAAACCGCCATGGTATGTGACTTTTTACGGCAGTCATATAAATAACCACCGTGATTTTTTTTTCTTTAGTTTACCTTTTATCCTGTTGATCAAGATGAAACGGGAGAACAAAACCCCAAAGGAAGGAGTTTGAGAATCAATAAATAAATAACCTGTCACCAGTTAAAAGCATTCTGATGGAACAACGTAGATTCTTTCTGCCGTAATAGCACCATTTAGCTTCACCTTCAACTACCAAATCAAAGTCACTAGGATTTAATAAAGATAAAATCAAAGATTCATATATGATAAAATTCATGAATTTCAGGCTGTCAAACTCTGATATACAAAATGAAGGAGAGAGAAATCGAATCTATTCAAGTATTAAATTTAAAGAAGGAAGAGGAATAAAAATCAGATCTATTTAAACTTAGAATAAATATCATATTTTTAACAAAAAAAAAAAACCAAACTACAAAAACTATAAAACCCATAGAAAGAATGGAGGAGAAAGGGTGAAAACTCACAAATAAGAATGAAAAGGATGAGCTAATGGCGACGGCAATAGTGACAGTGACATCGACGATGATGGAAGAACATGGCAGAGACGATAAAAGCAAAGGATAAACATCGGTAAATGTAGGAGGGAGAAAATCAAGTGGGGATGGTAATGGGAGACTATGAGCTCTAACTCTGAAAAGTGAAAACTATTACGCGATAAACGAGTTTTAAAATTCTGATAGACTTTTTATAGCGGTTATTTAAAAAACCGTCGTAAAAAGTTTTTTTTTGGCTTTTTTTTTTTATGACGGTTTTTTTAAAAAACCGCCGTAAAAAGAACTTTCTACTGCGATTTTTTGGATAACCTCTGTTAAAAGTGAAATTTACTTTTCTATAATTACAAAAATACTACCGTCATGTTTTTTATACTAGTTTTTTTCTAATGACCGCCGTAAATTAGTATCGTAAAGCTCTTTTTTATAGTAATGCCCCCACCCCAAAACAAAAAGTTCAATAAAATAATGAAGTAATTACTTATAATAATTTAATTGAACCAAATTAAAGGGTAATATGGAAAGATATTATTAAGTAAACGATAAGTTGTCCTAGTGATAACACCACCAGGCATCCACCATATTTAGATAAGATCTTGAGTCTAACCTTGATATGTTTATATGCATGCATGTGTTAAATCTATGGAATTTTTTTTAAAAAAACTATAATATGTTTTCCATTTTGTAATGTATTATTCATAAAGGCTTATATTTTTTTTGACCAGCATAAAGGTTTATATTTTAAATTATCGGATGCCGCCAACTGTAATAATTTTCCTTTCGGCTATGATCATGATTGTAGCTTGGTGGTTTACCTGGGAGGGGGGAGGGGGGGGGGGGGGGGGGACATACAATTTTAACGATTTAACTATTTTTTTCATTAGGTATATACTACTTCCGGTCCTTAATATAAAACCTCTTTTACTTTTATTTTGATTATAAATATAAGACTCTAATTCACCTTGTCTCTCATATTTATCCATTTTTACCCATGATAGTCCTTTTAATAATGATAGGTCTAACTAATAAACTTGATTAGTAAGGATATTTGAGAAAAGATAACACATATTTGTCATAAATAACTAACTTAACTTATTTTTTAATTTATTTAAATTAGTCAACTAGTTTTTATATTTAGAACCGAATGTAGTATATAACTATAGCTGTTCATTAGCTTTTATCATAACTGAACAATATACAAAGCAATAGGTCGCATATGTGTTTTTTTCTTGGCCAACAATACAATGCATGTGTTATACCATTGAACTTCACTCCAAAACAAGAAAAACAAAAACAAAAAGATGGGAACTCGATATGAACTTCTTTATTAATTCTTACTGATTTTCTTCTCAGTTTTGGAATATATATTTGTCAAATTTTAAATTATTTTACTCTAAAAGTATTTTGTATGAACACAATAATGCTGTCCGAACTTTGCGTTGTTTTCTCGTAACACAAACACCCTTATCTCAGTTGTATGGGTAAAAAAAAAAAAAACCCTTATCCCGTTGTGATGTTTTGTTGAATTGTATTTATCTATACCCAATGAAGAATAAAAATATTGGATTGTATATTTTTGATTAAATGAAGCTTAATAAAACAATTTAAAAGCAACTGAAAACTTGGTTAGAGTGAGTTCGATCGTTTTTAAATTTAAAGAATTGTCGTGGTATTTTAAAACTAATGGGAAAGTTAGCATCTTAATATTGAATCTCAATATTATTATGAGGAGATGAATATAATCAAATATTTTTTTAACCCTTTATTTGATTCAATATCGATCTTAAATGGTTGGATTTGATTTCTTTCTTATTTTTATTTATTCAAAATAATTATTTTAATATGTATAGAATCTAAAATAGAGATAATCTATCAACTATCATTTTTTTCAAAATATATTTTTCCATTTAAAAATAATTAGTTATAAATTTTAAATTTGGACCGTTCAAATCAGATATAAACAGCCCAAGTCTAATGAGCTTAAGGTGCTCATCAAAGTGATGAGCACTGAAACTGGTTCCCTAAATATGATAACTCAATTCACTTTACCTCTCATCTTTTTGCAAAATATCAATTGTAAGGATTTCTTTTTAAGAGATAATTCCAATAATTTAATACATATGATTGAAGAGGATAATTTAATGAGACCAATACACATTTATTACAAATAAATAGGTTAATTAATTTTTATAATATCCTCAAATTAGTTATCTAACTCACATATTAAGAATCGGAGCTAGTATATTAGAACGTGACACATAAACTAACAGATGTGAAGTTACAAACTTCCAAGGATTAATTACAAAAATGAAGTAAACAAGATTATTTTAATACATACAATGCACGACATCGATGGTAAATACCTAAGGACCAAATTTATGTTGTTATTTGAATGGTGTTAAATATCTTTTCAGTTGTAAATTTGCATTATTTAAATGATGAATGTGTTAGTGAATCAAATCACTTGAAGGAATCACATTTGAAGCTTTCACGAAAGAAGCACTCTTTGTGATTTCTCGCATTGGCTTGTTTGTATATATCATGATGTTATACACCCATGCTCCTGCCACTGCTCCGGCCACCGGCGCTGTCATGTACACCCATATTCCTTTATATTGGCGCCACACTATTGCCGGCCCTAAGCTTCTCGCCGGATTCATGGACGCCCCGGTCACCGGCCTATCACACAAATAAATACACTAAAAACAATAAATTTTGAATATATAATATCTCTTTTCAAACATTGTAATGAGATCTGTGTTTAAGTGAAGATTATTAGTATTTGGGATAATAAAGATGATCACCCGGCAAACATCACATTGAGCAACATGGTTGACCCTACCGCCAGACCAGCCACCTGACTCATCTGCACAGTTCAAAATCACATAAACACAAATAAAAATCTTAAAATAAATTATCATTCAAAAGCAATTTCTAAGCAGCATATCAGTTTATACATTTAATTAATTAACGACGTTTAGTTCATTTTAGTTCCATTCTTTAGTATTTCATCAAAGGCTAAGTATATTATATTCCCAACCCCATTATTCGCCAAGCATCTACGTACGTATCAGAAAAGTTAATCAACCCAAAAATAAGAAAAGGAAAGAAAAAGAGAATTCTGATATTTAATTACCGTTTTGTTATCTGTGGCCACACCACTGGTAGAATACTTAACAAGCATGATGTAGAAGGTGATGATGAACTCAACCACAAAACCTTGAAGATGCGTCCCAGATAATAGTGTTCCTGCGAAGTGGTCATGGGTTCCTGTGAAAATGAGCCTCAGAGTCCCGCTCGCAAGAATGGATGCCAGAATCTGAACTGATATATAAGCCGGTACCTGCAACATCAACGTAACATGAATCAAAACAAACCAACATTAATACACGCATGTTATTTCATATGAGACATCGAAAATAATGAAGGTAATTAAGGTGGTTGACCTGTATGAGGGGGAATCGTCCGGTAGAAGCAAAAGCGAGGGTGACGGCGGGATTGAAATGGGCGCCGGAGATGTGACTAACGGCGTAGACGAGAACTAAAACGGCGAGACCCCAAACTACGGCAATCCCAGTAAGCGTTATTTTGTTGCCGTAGCCCACGTCCACCACCTCGGATGCTTCGCCTGCAAACATCAGAAAGAATGTCCCGACGAATTCCGCCACCAACTGTAAATTAAATAGATATATTAGCGACTTTCTGCAGATAGAAAGTTTGAGACTTTAGAAAGAGGAGGAGGAGGAGGAGGGACCTTCTGCAAGAAAGGGACCAAGAGGCAGACGCAGGAATCTTCATTATTATTGGATTTGCCATTGACGTTCAGAACAACCTCATGGGTTCCTTTAGTTGCAGACGCCTCAGCCATCACCGATTATCACAGATCGACGACGGCGGATCAACAGAGAGTGAGAGTGAGAGTAAGAGTATGAGAGGGGGAGGAGGAAGAGGCGCCAATTTATGGGCACGGAAGAGTCCAAGAAGGCTGGGGGATGAAGAATTTGAGAGAAATGGGTTTGGCGATTTTTCTTCGAATGGATGAAGGAGACTTATTTTATAATTCCCATTGGAGAAATCGTTGAAGACTCTCAAAAGAGTTTCATGTTCTTTGTGGAGTTTTCTGAGGCAAACTGATCCACATGCTCTCAAAAATAAAACAAATTATCAAGATGCTACAACTTGTACTTAGCACAATGCTAGAAACTAAATCATGGTTTCTATCACTCCAACTTTCAAGATTTAGAAAATATTTAGATTAACTTTTTAGAAGTGATTTTATGATATATGAGATAAGTATGTAAAAAAAAAAATGTTGTCTAGCTTGCATGTAAATACTTGTGAGAAGTTGAAACAAAGACCCCTGACACATGAGAGAAGTTGGTTTACAATTACATTATAACAAGTTTCTGTTTCCTTGTTTTTCTTTTTCTTAAAAAACAATATGCCGCCACCCAATCCTCCAATTATCTTGGTAAATGAAAAGATAAGCAACAATATTCCAAGGCTATCTTAATATATTAGAAACTTATTAGCCATCAAGATTTTAGAAATCTTATTATCCATGAGGTGAAAATCTCTTAGCTCTACAAACTCAATAAACAGAGAGCAGGGGAGCAACAATCTCTAGGAAAGATATATGAGAGAGTCGCCAGATAAGATGACTAAAGTCATCATATATATATATATATATATATAGAGAGAGAGAGAGAGAGAGAGAGTGGTGCTGCTTAAATGAGTACTATCTCCAATGTAAATTATAAGACCTTTATTTGTAGACTATAAATAAGGTTTTATAATCAGGACCGGAAGTAGTATGATCATTATTAATTCCTTCGCTTTGATCATTTTCTCATGCAAGCGCATAGTGTTCTTCACGGCATATATGCCTATTATATGGCATCGTATTGTAATGGGAAGCCAAGACATTGGTGGGAATATGATGAGTTACTCACTAAGCCATAGAATTGAGACCCTTTTGCGAATATGCTTCGATACGTTGTAAATGCCTTTTATATTTTATGAATCAAGTTTCCTATCTCTCTGTCGGTGGCGTTTGTGTTTAATGTCGTTAGGTTATAGGAGCCTATTGCAATGGATCACGAGGTTCAATCTACATACTCATTCAGTTTTTTATTATAAACATTTGGAGCACATGTTTCATAATACATAACATGTTTTGTCTAAAATGTTGCCACTGAGGCAATTGAATTTGCTTTGCTGTCGACAAACTAATGTCCATCCAAGCAATTCTCCAAATCTCTTGAGGATTTGCCAGCCTTAACTTGATAACCGGTAGTATTGGGATGTTAATAATATGGGCTGATCGTAGGTTTAAATTTAGTGCTGATTAAAAATAATTATGAGAAAGTGATGGATGGAAAAATAAAAAAGAAACAAAAAGAAACAGCTGATGAAAATAGTAAATAAATAATGAAATGAATAAAATAATAATAATGAATGAATCAATGAATAAGAAACCAACCAAGATAATCACGCACTGGAAAAGGATTTTGTTCCCTTCATTGGGTGCATGGGGCCTAGACTATCACATTAGGTCAAGTCACTCCAATAAAAAAACACTCCTCCAGTCTTTAATATAGGACTCAATTGTTGAGTTGGTTTTGGTCCTAACTGTAAGATTTATTTATCATATTTAACAATTTTCTCTAAATTATCCTTATGGATACTCCGTCAACTATAATTAAGTAAAAAAGGGAGAGGGGTATTAAGAAAGATGATTATGGTGTCTTAGAAAAAAACATGTCACATTTCTTATAATTAACTAACTTACCTAACTTCTTTAATCCAATCAAAGTAGTTAAATGGGTTTTATATTAAAGACCGGAAGAGTAATATTTTTCCCCTTTATTCATTGTCTAGTTAAATTTCATAATGACATAGGGATAATCTCTATTTCAGCTCACGTATCATTCATGCCATAATTTGGGATAAGTGCTCTTAGAAACAGGTCATATGGCGTGTAAGATTCTCAAACCTATTACTGTCACTCTTGGTACTCTATCTATACAAAATTTACAGAGTACTGTGTGTAAAATTTATACAGATTCTTCTTACTAATAAATTTCTAATGAGGGATTCTTTTCCCCCCAATTTTCTCTTTTTTTTTTTGTGGATAATTAGATGCTGCCGGCCATCTTATGTTATTTGAAAGAAAAAAGGCACAAAGGAACTTGGTTTCCAACAAACCATCAAGTTCTACTCTGTTCGAAGAAGTGTTGGAAATTGGTGTGACAGAAATCATACTGAACCAGAAAGGGTGAGTGAATCAGATATGGAGGACAGCGGCACACAGCAGCCTTTAAGGTATGAATATAGAATGATTGGGAATTACAAGTCCATCATGGATAGATGCAGAAAGAGCTGACTGTACCATAGGGCCAAAAGGGCTCATGTTTCTTATAACTACGTACGACATTATTCTTGTCTCAGAGGTTCCTCCAGAGGGCATGGAGTTTCCGATACAAGATTTGGCAACTCATGATCGCTTCTTTTGTAACCATAGGAAGTATGATGCTCCTCAGGAATCTGTTTTGCTGAAAGTTGTGCACAAACCAGTCTCACCAATGGCTCTGCAGAAAAAAGGAGACGCAAAAGTTCTCCCCAGCTGGTAGAGCAACATTTGAAGTTCTCCAGATCATCAATAGAAGTTCCTCGCACATTTGGGGGATCCTCACTATCATTCCCCTCTCACGCTAGCCTCTAGCCCAGTCACAGTACAATTCTGGTTCTGGTGACTAGTTATTTTTCCAATTTTGACAAATTGTAGTTTGGGTTTGGTAAGTTCTTCTTTAGATATCAAGAAGTTATGATTCAATTTTTGACTAGTTTTTAGAATGATCTTTGAATGTTGATGGCTCATTCCTCAAATTTTTATAAGTTATGTTGTATCCTGTCCATGTCGTAGGACGTTTCAAAGTGTAGGATATTTTATGTTTTTAAAATATCTTTTCATTTAACATAGGACGTTTCAAAGTGTATTTTTCTACAACTGAGAAAATAAGTCCACTTTTCATAATATTTTGAAATAAAATTGAATTTCCATTAAAAAAAAGTTTGAAATTATTAAATCATAAATAAGGAATTTTTACAAAAATATATTTTATTTGCAAGTTTAGTATTGTCAAAACATATTAAAATATTATTACCAAACTGATTTTAAATTTAGTAATTTTGAGCTTCTTCCTTAACAGCCTGCTATATGTTAAAAGCATCCTATGTTATGGAGTGAAATGAGTAACTTCAAGGAAGTCAGCTTATTAAATTTAACAAAAAGTTACAGCATGAAATTATTTTTATAAATCAAAGATAACATTTCCCACAAGAATTAACTATTTACCATATTTAATTGTAAACAAGGACAAATTAGGAAAAGAAGATTAATGTCCTATATAATAAGTTACCAAATGAAGTCGCCCGTTTTCCAGTGCTACCTAAATACTTCCTCCTATCCTTAGTGTAAGACATTTTTAAGAACAAGTAAGTGATCTTTATTGTAAGTTACCAAATGAAGTCATAATTACACTTTTTAAGAGTTCATATTTAAAGTTAGAGATACAATGTATATTAAAAAAAGTTAGGGAACAATTTTCCTTTTTAGGAGATATAATTTATAGTTTCAAATATGAATAAATTTAAAAATTTGTTCTATTTTTAAATCAAATTAACTTAATTAGCTCTCCTTAGTTACGATGAATAAAATTTCCCTTTGATAAGGATAAAAAATTATTAACAAACACAAACTTGCATTTTGCATTGAGGAGGGTATATTATTATTGATGTTTATTGTTATTTATAGCTCTTCTAGGGTGTTTGGGTAACCTCAAAAGTACTTTTCTACAAATTAAGGTAAACTCCTCCACATATTTACTTCCTATATCGTAAAAGCATTTTAAAATCATGTTTTTATTTCTATCCAAACATCCCTTTCTTTTTTGTATGAAAAGGGTTTGGGTGAGTTAAGTCTTAAGTAAGACTAGAATATGCTTTCAATTGAACTTGTGGTCTTACAAGTCATAAGTCAACTTTACACCAACTAGACTAAGGGTCTGTTTGGGATCATGTTTGGGGTCCCAAACGTGCATCTCAATAGGCAAAAGCTTTTTTATGTTTTAGTATATGTTTGGAATCACTTATGTGGAAATGAACTTTTTGGACCTAACGAGCAGTATCAGTAAAGCTATTTTACGTTACTTTTAAAGAAAAAGTTCCTTCCTGCCGTGGAGAGAGAAGATGTACAAGAGGGAAAAAGACAAAATGGGATCCATCTTTGTACTATAAAACATAAAAAGATAGAATTTCTCTTGAAAAAAAGGCCAATAACTTAATTAATTTAATTATTATTTTTTAAAAATTTATCAAATTGTATGTATATATGATAATTTCTCTAAAATACTTATATGTTCTTAATCTTTTTAAATTAGTTAATTAAATCTGGATAAAAACTTATGTCCTTTTCAACCATTTTATATCTAAACCTCTTTTTTATTATTTATCTAAACAAGTTTTAATTTTTCAAACTGACTTTTTAGAAATATTAATCCAAACATAATTTTATTTTCCTTACCTCTTTTAAAATAGTCACATTATATATACCTAATATTAGATATGTACTATTTAATAAAATCATGTCCTTTTAAGTCATTTTACATCCAAACTTATTTTACATATATCATCCAAACAAGTTTCAATTTCTTAAACTGACTTTTTTACAAAACCCAATCCAAACATAAATCATATTATATTATTGACTTCTATAAAAGTCAGATTGAAAAAAAAAATTACTTCTACTACCACTATCCCAAACACACCCTAATTATTGTTGGCAATAACTTATTAATTACTTTTCTG